CCACTGGTCTCCTGGGTAACTGCCACCTTCTCACCATGGGCAGGCCGTCCAGGGCACGGGCCTGGCCTTCATCGTCTACACCGAGGCCATTAAGAACATGGAGGTGTCCCAGCTGTGGTCGGTGCTTTACTTCTTCATGCTGCTGATGCTGGGCGTGGGGAGCATGCTGGGCAACACGGTGGGCATCCTCACCCCTCTGACCGACAGCGAGGTCATTTCCAGCCACCTGCCCAAGGAGGCCATCTCAGGTCAGTGGGTCACCTGGCAGGGGGGCAGGGATGGTGTGGGCTGGGACACAGGGGACAGGAGGGGATGGGTTTGCTCAGGGGCCCTGTCACCTTGAGGTGCCTCCGGCTGCCCTTTGTAGTGCCCAGTGAGCTCCTCGATTCTGGCCCTGGCCCGCAGAACTCTCATGCATTCGGCTCTTCCCGTCCCAGGGAGGGAAGAGGTCACCCCGGCTATGAGGCAGACCAGCTGCCCTGCCCCGCGCTCAGAGCTCTCCAGGCTATGGGAAACCTGCTCTGGTTTGGTTTCCACTGAAGCATAGCGATCGTGAAGCGGGCATTGTGTTCATGCAGTGCAACGCACTTTGCATGCATATTCTCAGAAGCAACCCACACCTAACGTCGAGAACTTTCCCACCCGCAGAGCTCCTTCAATCCCTTCCCCAGGGAACTAGCAGCCTCCTTTCTTCTGACTCCCACTGTCTATGTTCGCTGCACTGTCCCTATGCTTCCTGCTGGTGACATGACACACCACACCTTCATCTCCTCACCACTCCCACACTCTGGGATCCACCCCTCGACGGCAGCAGGACCCCTCCGCCTGTTCCAGCCTGTAATGCCCCAGCGGAAGGACAATTCCACAATTTCTTCATCCATTCCGCTCCAACTTTGGGTGCTCAGTAGAAGAACCAGCTCTTCTTATGGTCTCGCTCCCTGTTCCACGTACCCCATTCCAACCAGGCAGGGTCTCAGGGACCCTGAGCCTACCCCCTCGGAGGGCCCCGTGCCTCCACGTCCAGGTGGAACCCAACCTGACACCTCTCCCCTCCCCTGCCAGTCCTGCCAACCAGGTGGAGCTGCCATCTCTCCTCAGGGCCCTTTGGCACCCACCCTTCCTGAGATGTGCCCTCCACAGCCCGCACTGCACAGTGGCTGAAGCCAGAGGCCAGAGTCCCCCGGCGGCCAGGGCCCTGCTGCCCTGACAGAGCGAGAGAGCGGGAGCAGGCAGGGTGCCTCAGGCAGCCAGCAGGTGTCTTGTGCCCAGGTCTGCTGTGCCTCGTCAACTGCGCCGTCGGCCTGCTGTTCACCATGGAGGCCGGGAGCTACTGGTTCGACATCTTCAACGACTATGCGGCCACACTGTCCCTGCTACTTATCGTGCTGGTGGAGACGCTCGCCGTGTGTTACGTGTACGGGCTGAGGAGGTGAGGGGGCCCGGCCCTGCCAGCTCCACGGGCAGAAGAGCCCGGGGCACCCCACAGCCGCCGCCCTGGCTCGGGCGCCTTTCCTTCTAGAAGGTTGCTCTTTGCCCTCGAGTTTGTTACTTTCCCTGCAGTCTCACCTGCTTCTCTGCCTTCTTCTGCCCTCAGTTGGGCTTCAGCCAACAGCCTCTGCTTCCTGTCTTTTCTCTTTGCACGGTGGGATGCCTCTGGGGAACACCGCTGAATCCCCGCAGCTTTCTGGGAGGGTAGAATCATTCCTCCTGGCACTAGATAATCTCATCACCAGCCAACAGCAGTATTTTTAAGGTCCTTGTTGAGAACTTTCGTCTGAGAAAATCTGGCACATTCCACCGAGGTCGGGTCCTCACCCCGGGGGCCCAGGCAGCGCTGGGAAGTTTTCAGTCTCCCCAGGTGATGCATTGCGTAGCCGGGGCCACACTGCCGATCCAGAGCAGCTTGCAAAGGAGTCTGCCTCAGAACCATCCCAACGCAGGTTCCGGTTAAGGAAGTCCAGGACGAGGCCCAGGGTTCCCAGTTTTACACATTCCCAGGCGGCCTGGGGACCACACTTTGAGAGCCACTGTCTAGCTCCTAACCACTCACGGTCCCTTGAGCCCCAGCATCAACAAGGAGCTTGCAGGAGCGTCAGGGTCTGGGGCTGCCCAGCCCACTGAACCAGATCCTGCACAGTGAACAGATGCGGGGGCCCAAAGCACGCTACAGTTTGGGACATGCTGCTCTAATGTTGAGTCTCACTCCAAAGGACTTTGCCACACGGTCCTCCCTCCTCCCATCTCTTCCACTGCTGCTGCTGCTGCTGCTGCTGCGGGACGGGGAAGCGGGCAGTTCGACACCAGGTCCAACACCTTGCAGACTGGTGTCCCCTGCAGCAGTGTCCCCCACTGTCCTGCAAAGGCCAGCACTGCCTGCCATGCAGAGGGATCTCCCATGAGCAATTATTGGTTTCAGGGCATCAGTGAAGTCAAGCCAGACTGACGTCTTTCCTCTAGGACTTCTCAGCGCTCTAAAGACACAGGACTCTCGAAATGGGACACAGTCATTTAGAACATTATTGAAAGAATGTGGGCACTGAGGGTCTCCTAGCCTCCTCCTGCCAGTTGCGAATGTTTTGTTTTGTTTTTTAAAACAGGTTCTGTAGGTCAGACTGGCCTCCAAATCACGGCAGCCATCCTGCCTCAGCCTCCCGAGTGCTGGGATGACAGGCGTGCACCACCACACCAGGATCAGCTGCTAACATTTTGAGATCACTGACAAACATTAGGGTGCCCAATTCTCCCAGTACGGAAAGATTTCTGGGATGTGGGCCATTCAGGGTTAAAACCAGGAAAATCCCCAGTAAAGTAGGATAAACTCATTATCCAGGAAATGCCAGCTTAGAGGGAGAATCTGCCCCCAGAAAAGAATTTGAGAGAATATGGGGACAGAACTGAACCTTTGGCCGCAGGAAGCACAGGCCTACTGAAAGGGCACTGTGGGATACGAGGGGAGCCCTAGGGATTTTTGAGCAGCTTGATACAGACGCGGGCCAGGAGGAGGTCCTTGTACTTACTCAGGGCATTGCGCCACCTGGTGGCCTTCCAGCAACAATGACCGGCTCAGCCACCTGACCTTCCCACTTCTCTCTATCCAGGGCTGGACAGGAGTGACAGGAACGAGAGGACCCGCACTTTCTGACCTGTGTCACTCTGACAGTCTTGGGTATTCACATCACGAACAGGAGCCTTGGTGGCCTGGGGGCCGCTTGTCATCAGCGGCAAGAGCGGGTAGCGCTCTAGGAGCCTTCCACGGTTGGACAGTGACAGGAGACGGGGTCACAGGCCCTCCTGGCAAGGCCGCTCCTCCTGCTGAGAGCAGAGTGAAAGGGTCTGGGCTGGAGGCGGGAGGCAGCGCAGGTTCGACTGCTCTGCACCGCCAGCAAGTCCGCCGCGACCCTGGGCTTCGCCCCCTGGCCCCCGTGGAATCCCGACGGCGGGCACTGGGTGCCTATGATTAGCCCTCATACCTCATACCACATGTGAATGCCACCCACTGTGGCTAGGTTTACAGGAAAGCTGTCATCCAGAAAAAAGGAAAAAGGCCAGGAGTGGCCAGGCAAGAGGCCATGGTGGTCTGCGGGCTCTGGCACCTGTGCTGTCGCTGCCCCAGGCTGGGCTCAGCCCCTGCCCCGAACCCTGCGGTCCCCAGGCACAGAGGGG